TGCCTCCGGCATACCCGCTACTAGGGATTGAGCCTGCAACCCAGGCATGTGCCCTTGAACGGAATCGAACCCAGGACCTTCCAGTTTGCAGGCCGAAGCTCTATCCACAGAGCCAAACTAGCGAGGGCTATATGTGCATATTCTAATTCTCCTAGTTAACAAGAGATGTCCAAGGCCAGCCACAATACATACTAATGAACCATATAATACTGCTTAGGTACACGGGGAATGTTTTTGACATCTAAAATTTCTACGAGCTTAAAAGGGCTTCCCCTTCCTGGTCCAGGCAGCCATGGGGAGGAGTCAGTTTCGTTATGTTTAATAGGTAACAGGTAAGACCAAATATTAAGGTATTTATTTGTAAATCAGACTGTGGTGTCTAGACAATGATGTGTTTTTTTGCATTTGAATAAAATACTAGGATTGAAAGTTTAGTTATGCTCCTTATTCCTTATGCAACATGACTAACAAAAGTTAACCTATTCCTTTTTTTATTTCTGCTGATACAGATTTCTTTGTTGTAAGGTTACTATTTTCGATTTTGTTGTTATTTTAGTTTAAAAGTTTTAAATTTTATTTTGAGCCCACATCTACTTCCATATAACTTCTCCATCTTGATGTGACCATGATTCTTAAGCAGAGGTAATAAGTGTAAAGCTAATCCAAAAGGTAGGTGCCTGAGTTGCATCCCTAGAGATTTTATTTGTTTACCTTCAGATAGAATTCAGGTTTGTGTGTTGGGAAAACTTCCTGATAATTCTTAAGCTCACTTAGGTTGAGAATCACTGTTTCCAATTTTATTTAATCCTCCTATAGAATACTTGCATGTGTCATTTTTTTTAAATTGCTCCATGAATTTATTAGCATATGTTAATGCAGTAAAGACAGGACAGAAACTCACAAACAGTTTAGTTTCACAAAACACATTGTAGGAAAGGGTGACCAAGGACCGACAGTATTCTAGGGTCTTGGTGGATGCATTCATGGGAGAGGAGGTCTCATTCCAGGAGGAGACATGTCTGTTGGTGTCCCTTAATCAGGGGTGGGGTGGAGGGATGGGGCTAGCCTAATTGATGGGCTCATGGGTGGTCTCATACCAGGTAGAGTAGCCATAATGCCTGGAGGGGGTTGTTGCCCAGCCCACAAATGTGTAGGTAGTCCCCTGGACCCGTGGCTACTGAGTTGGGGTTCCAGCAATGCTGGCAGTGGCTGCAAAAGCTGTGACAATACCTTTTCCCTGTGGAGTCATTACCTGCTTGGAGGGTCCTCAATCAATTTGGCGCAGGGCCTACGAGTTCAAAAATTGGAACGCTAGCTGGAACACAGCAGCCAAGCCAACTCCAGGGCCTCCTGCAGCTTCTGCAATGCCAGTAACTTTTGGGGAGGCTTCCCTCCACAATCATGGAAACCAAGTTTATTTGTTGGTAGTGAGTAGATAAACCTTTAAGAGGAAATATTCTAGTCGAATTCTGAGAATGTTGCCTCAGAATCTTTCACCAGAATCTTTTTTCCCATTTAAGGAAAACTTTTAAGATAACTTTTGCTTTTGTAGTGATAAATGTGAGTTAGCTTAGCCTTGCAGAATAGTTCACAGGCTTAAAGAAATTATTATGGTTTAAATGTAGCAGGTTTTCAAGAAATATTGACTTTAAAAGTATTTAACACATGAAAAATTTTTTTTCTGGCAGTTTGGATGTGGATAGTGAAGCTAAGAAGCTGTTGGGCTTAGGACAGAAGCATCTGGTGATGGGGGATATTCCAGCAGCTGTCAATGCTTTCCAGGAAGCAGCTAGTCTTTTGTAAGTACTGTGTTTTGCTAAAATGTCTATGTTTCTAATAAACTTGAGTCATAAGAAAGTTGTTTTATGAGAAAAATCAAGTGTAAGAGTTTAAAAAGATTATTTTTCATGTGTAAGTTCTATAAATATAAAATCTACATATAACTGAGCAATTGTAGCCTTTGATTTTCCTGAGTAAGGTAGTCTGTTTTCTAGTTACTGCTAATTACGGTGCCCAACTTGTCCTGGTTAATTGCAGGACTCTTATTTTTAGCATTGGAAATTCTGTATCTGGATAAACTCAATTCCAAGTAAACCATGATGGTTGGTCACCCTACCATCAGTATTATTATTAGCACAGTATTTTTCATACTCTTATCACTTTGTTAACTGCTCTGTTAGCAAGTTGGTAATTACCACCAGGTGATCATATCTTCTATAATAATAAAAAGCTAATATGCTAATTAGACTGGACATCCTTCCTGGTGAAACTGGGGCAGGGAAGGAAGCCACCCCAAGTCCCAAGTGCCTGAGGGAAGCTGGTGTCTGCAGCCAGGGGAAGGAAGGCCTACTCTTGCATGAATTTTCATGCATCAGGCCTTTAGTGTATCTATAGGTATCTTGGGGAAATAAGTTAGCTTTAGTGCTTCAAGGTTGATTGATATTAACCAAAGGCTTTAATGCACCTCTGTACGCTGAGAAAGTTAAATCTTCATTCAAGCATTAGCCTGCCAGCCTATGCCTTGATTTGAGCTAGTTCCCTCTAAGATATCATTACCAGTAAGTAGCAGTGGAAGTCTGTCAGCTTTCTTAATTAGCTTATTGTTAACACTAGTGGCCCAGTGCACAGATTCGTCCACATTGGAAGAAAATTAATTAGAAGAAATATTTTAATATTGCTATTCACCCTTTCTCTTAATAGAAGTGTCAACCAAATTCACGATTGACAATGACAGATCAAAATACACATGTGCGATTGGTGCCAGCGATAGCTTTATATGTATTGCGCACACGTGATTCAACTTAGCCTTTTATAGATATAGAATAAACTTGCTTAATTAGACCTGCTTCTATTTATTTTAAATATGATGTTACATGCAAGGAACATTAATATTTCAAGAATAAAAAGATTTTAAGTATAATAATATTACCAAAACTGTATTGACATAATGTATCACAAAAGTTGTAGGAAATATAAAACATATGCAAATAACAGTATTCTATTATATTCTAGTATATCCCCCCCCCCGCTCTATTTTTGTTCATCGGTTTATGTTGTTCATTATATTCCACAAATGAGTGAATGATATGATATTTATCTTTCTCCAACTGGCTTATTTCGCTTAGCATGATGCTTTCTTAAATTTTTTTAAGTCCAGTTGCTTTTTTTTAATTTTTTATTTTATTGATTTAACAGAGGGAGAGATAGAAACATCAATGATGAGAGAATCATTGATAGGCTCCCTCCTGCATGCTCCACACTGGGGATCGAGCCTGCAACCTGGGCATATGGTCCGACTAGGAACCAAGCCCGTGACCTCTTGGTTCCTGTGTTGACGCTTAACTGCTTGACCTGGCAGGGCTTAGCATGATGCTTTTAAAGCCTATTTTGTCGAATATGAGTATTGCTGCTCCAGCTTTGCTTTTTTTTTTTTTATTATTTCTTTTCCATTAGCATGGAAAATTTTTTCCCATCTCTTCACTTTCATCCTCTGTGTATCTCTTGAGGTAGATCTCTTGTAGACAGCGTATAGTTGGGTCATGTTTTTATATCTATTCACCCACCCTACACTTTTTGATTGGAGCATTTAATCCATTTACAATTAGGGTTATTATTTTTTAAAATATATTTTATTGATTTTTTACAGAGAGGAAAGGAGAGAGAGAGAGAGTTAGAAACATCGATGAGAGAGAAACATCGATCAGCCGCCTCCTCCACACCCCCCACTGGGGATGTGCCCGCAACCAAGGTACATGCCCTTGACCGGAATTGAACCTGGGACCTTTCAGTCCGCAGGCCGACGCTCTATCCACTGAGCCAAACCAGTCCCGGCTAGGGTTATTATTGACAGGGTACTTATTTATTCCCATTTTAATTCTGTATGGCTAGGTTTTTCTCTCTTTCCTTCTTAAATCCCTTAAGCATTTCTTGTAATGCTGGCTTGGTGGTAATGAACTCCTTAGCCTTTTTTTTTTGTCTGGGAAGCTCTTTATTTGACCATCTATTTTGAATGATAGATAGCCTTGCTGGATACAGTATTCTTGGTCTCAGATCCTTGCTTTCCATTACCTTGAGTACTATATGCCATTCCCTTCTGGCCTTTAGAGTTTCTGATGAGAAATCAGGTGTCAGCCTTATGTGGGTGACAGTTTTCTCTTCTCTTTCTGTCTTTAATTTTTGGCATTTTAATTAGGGTGTCTCTGGGCACTGTTCTGTTTGGGTTTTTCATAGTTACTATACCTTTTTCATACTGTAGAGCATTTTTCACATCATTACTCTAAACTGTTTCAGATAAATTTCTTATCTCTGCTTCATTTATCTCTTCTGGAGAATTCATTCGCTGGTTCTTTAATTGGGGTTGTTTCTTTCCTCATTTTGGTTGTCTGTTTGGGATTGTGACTATGTTATAGGTAGATCCTCTGTATCTCAATCTCTAGTGAAGGACAGCCTTAAAGGCTGTTTCTGAGTAATTAGATCAGGCAAAGACTCAAAGCCTCCATAGACCGGCCCTGTCTACAGACTTGAATTGCCCCCAGGCAATCGTCCTCAGGTGTGGCAAGAGTTTTTTCAACAGGGTGGGGTAGTTTATGCCTGGAGGCTAATAGTTCATTTTAATTTCTTCAGTGGCCTCAGGGCAAGGTGTTTTCCAATAGGGTGTGTCCACTGTCTTTCCCTCAGGCAAGGCAGATGTCTATGTGGAAAAGATGTCCTCTGCTTTGTGAGGGAATGACTCATCCCAGGAAACTTGGGGTATCTGCCTTCTGAGCTCTATCCCCCAAGTCCCCAGTCCTAGATTCTGCTCTCACAGGTCCAGTCCACTTCACCCTCCCTCTGCTGGAGCACAAGGTGAGTAGCTCCACAGGGAATTTTTGTGCGTTGACGCTTTAAGAGTGTGCCCAAACTTTCAGCTGCCACTCCCTGGCAGACAGCAACCCACTGCTTTTCATAGCTAGATGTTATGTGGGTACCCTCCTCAGTTTGGTGCTCTCTGCTGGGCAGCCTAGCTTGGGGATTGGATCCCTGAGTTCTCAGTGGCACCCCGCCCCTGCAGCTGAGATCTCTCTCCGGGACTTCAGTTGCCATCTGTGGGTGCCCAGCTAGCCCTCAGCTGCCACTCCCTGGCAGACAGCAACCCACTGCTTTTCATAGCTAGATGTTATGTGGGTACCCTCCTCAGTTTGGTGCTCTCTGCTGGGCAGCCTAGCTTGGGGATTGGATCCCTGAGTTCTCAGTGGCACCCCGCCCCTGCAGCTGAGATCTCTCTCTGGGACTGCAGTTGCCATCTGTGGGTGCCCAGCTAGCCCCTTCTCACTGCTGCCTCTCCTACCAGTCTCCACCTTCGGTCCTTGGGTATCAGGGTTATCTCCTGCAAGTTTTCCATTGATTATTCAGTAAATCTTTCTGAATTTCAGTTGTATTTCAAGCTTGCTCCTTGGAGCATGTCTGTGCAGCATTCTCCTACTCTCTCTTTCTTCTTCAATTAGACCTGCTTTCTGAGGTAGCTAAACTTTTTTCCAGCCCAGTGAAGCACCCCAACTACTCTTTCAGGTAATTGTCAGCATCACAGCAGTAAATAGCAACACAAAGCAGATTATTATTATAGGTCATACAGGAAGAACAAAGGTAAAATATTAACTGCAGCAATGTTTGACTGTATTCTGTGCAGTGAGAAAACCTGAAGTCGTTTTCAAGTTCTACCATTTCTTTGCAGTTGGATCAAGTTTCTAAATCTCTGTTTTCTGGCTAATGAATAGAAAATAGGATTCTACTGAGTCTCCTATCTACCTACTCCAGGACTTCTGTGAGGATCAAATGAGATGAGGAACGGGAAAACGTTTCACATACATTTGGTTATATAAGTGTGAAATGAAACAGACTCTCCTTAAACTTGACTTTCTTCACAGTACTTCCTAATTAGATTTTTTTCTTCTGATTTTCCTGATTAGTTTCTTTAGTTACTCTCATTAGACTCCCAATGCTGGTAGTTGGCCTTACTTTGCATGGCTTCTGCCAATCCTTTACTACATGAAAATGGTTTATTGACATAAAGTACCTCCTCCTTCCGTTTATCATACTTGTGTGATTTTTTCCTTCCTGCTTTCCTGTGTAAATAATAGCTAAAACTTATCTATAAATCTGTATTTCTAAGCCTTATTTTAAGTGCTTTTATATACATTAACTCAATTCCTGCAGTAGCTCTTTGAGCATTCTTCACATTTCGATTTTACAGATGAGAAAACGAAGGCACTGTGAAATTAACTTCCCAGGCATTCTACCAGAGAAAAAATGCTCTTAACTACCGTATTTGCCGGCGTATAAGACGATTTTTTGGCCCTGAAAAATATGCCTCCAAGTGGGGGGTCGTCTTATACGCCAGGTACACTTCAGATAGACTGCCCATAGTGCTTGCCCCGTGCCATAGTGGCCTCCCGATGCCCGCCCACTTCATTCCACATACCGTTCAGGCATCAGCAGCACTGCTGGGTGTATGCTCAGCTGTTATGCGATTTTGCTGTTATGCGATTTTACCCCACTTTCAAAATCGCACACAGCCGACCATACACCCAGTATGATAGCGCAAAATCGCGAATCGCGATACCATACTGGGTGTATGGTTGGCTGTGTGCGATTTTGCGAGTGTGGTAAATTCGGGTTACCGTATATTTCTTTACATATGCATTGAAGATTCGCGATTTTGCGCTATCATGGTGCCTGTTAGAATGTTGAAGAGCTCGCACTTGCGCACTAGTGAGGTCCCAGGGAGATGCTGATGCAAGGGTGGACCAGACTGCTATAGTGACAGGGCGGGCAAACAGGGAGCAGGGACCAATCAAATCAGGCTTTGTATACAGCCAACAGCCAACCACAATACTGCCCCATTGTACAGTACAGCATAGAAAACGTCGACCAGTCAAACCCCTATCATCCCTATCATGGCACCAAGATGTCGTTGATGAACTTTTAATATCAGATGATGAAGAGGAGTTTGAAGGCTTTTAAGGTGAAACTGTCACGCCAGCAAATTAAAATGTTAAAATCAAATCTGATATTGTTTTACCTTTTATTTGGTGTGTGGAAGGTGTGCGGAAGAGGGGGTAGTCTTATACGGCGAGTATATAACAAACTCTGTATTTTGAGTGGAAATGTTAGGGGGTCGTCTTATACGCCCAGTCGTCTTATACGCCGGCAAATACGGTATATCATGATGCTTTTCCATGGGCCTTACTTATCCTTTAGGTCCCAGCCAACTAGTAGTTAGTCCTCTAACTAACTACTTTGGCCCATTTTGACACCAGTCTTATAGCAGAAGAAATCCCTATTGATGTAGTTTAGGTCTTAGATTATATGTGATAACTGTAGTAAATTGATGTCATTTAGAATATATAATATATGTAGAGCTGAAGAACGGGCAACATTAATTTTATGCCCTGTTAGGTCAAGGTCCATTTGACCTTGACTGGAAAGCAAAAGAGGGAAGTACTGGTTTCCTATAAGTATGTTATTGGAAGAATGTCATAACTAAAGAACTAGAAATAAATGTTTTAGAGTAGGTGTTAATTCAGATCTTTGATGTTTATTCTCTTTATAGAGGTAAAAAGTATGGAGAGACAGCTAATGAGTGTGGAGAAGCTTTCTTTTTCTATGGGAAATCTCTTCTGGAGTTGGCAAGGTATGTCTTTGAAGTCACAATTTATAAGTAGAATGTTTGGTATCACCACAATGGTCTATTTAAACATTTTAGTTTTTTTGTTTGGTAAGATTGCTTACTAGCTTGAGATTTCACATGAACTAAGAGACTAATTTTACTAAGAAATAGGAAATTAGGGAGAGCATGGAAGTTTTTTGAAAGGCACTTCATGCAAAGAGTAAAATTATACATAACTTTTGACTTTGGGGTCAGAAAACACTAGCAAATGAATATGTCTAACAAATAAAACTTATAAGTAGTCTTAATTATTGTAAAGTTGTTGTGTGGTTTCCACCAGAAATTATTCACCAGGATAAAATACATTGAGGGCACATGAAACTAGCAAATTATCTATGATCTATTTAATATCAGTTCTAGTAAGTTTTCTAATTTTATAGAGCATTCTGGTGATTTGTCGTAATAATCTTGCCAGAATGGTTTTTTTTCCCCATTTAAGGAAATGTCAGTGGGTGTGAAGCTTGGGAAATATGGCCCTATTATAAGGGAAATATATACTGATCTTGTTCTTTTATAAGAGTCACCAATACTTTTCAGTAGCTGAAGGTTATACTTATTCTTTCACTGTTCTCCCAGCCTTAATTTATAGAAGTTTTTTAGGAACACCTACTTTATATTCTCTGCATTTGCTTGCTCTTCTGTTGCTTTTATAATATAGGATTACAATTTCTATCGTAAATTGTTACGTTCTAGTTATCATGCCTTTTAGTACTGTTTCCTTTTCTCCTAGAATGGAGAATGGTGTTTTGGGAAATGCCCTGGAAGGTGTGCATGTAGAAGAGGAAGAAGGAGAAAAAACAGAAGAATCGCTGGTAGAAAATAATGATAACATAGATGGTATGTGGAGTTGCATGTGGCATTAAAGAGGTGCAACATATTTCTTGTGCACAAGTGACGGAGATAGGCTCTTCCTATCCAGGATCATCTTTAAGATGCTTAGGTGATAACCTGCATCGGGCAGAGACTTCAGTGGAAGTAGCTGATTACAAAAAGTGACTAGGTTTTTTGTTTGTTTGTTTTAAGAGGATAACTAATTTTTTAGAAACTCTGTGCCACTCAGTTATTTTAATAGCAGTGCTTTCAGAGCCCTTTTACATTTTTTGTGTGTGAGAAATTAAAATGTTAATTTCTAAGCCTAGTTTGGCCAATCAGATGGAGGTCTATAATGTTTAGAGGAGAATGTAAAGCTTGGCATCTCCACTAATTGATATTCAGAATGCTTAAGCTAATTTAGGGAGCTTGGGTTTCTTTTGCAATAAGTTGCACTACTAGATGGGACTTTACCTTTGCTTTTCTTAAAGGGGCAGATAATTTGTAGGCCATCCGCTAAAACTTAAGCCAGGCTGTTTGAAGGGTTTAAAGGGAATGTGTTTTTAGTTTCCATTTATGCCTTTAACGTTAAACTCGAAGACATGTTTATGCTTCATGTTCTTTAACCATGTAGAGGAAGCAAGGGAAGAGTTGAGAGAACAGGTTTATGACGCCATGGGAGAAAAAGAAGCAAAAAAACCAGAAGACAAGTCTTTGGTAAAGCCTGAAATTGATAAAGAACAGGAGACTGAAGTGGAGAAGGGTGAAAGAGAAGATATGGATATAAGTGAGCCTGCAGAGTTACTACAGGAAAAAGTTGAATCAACTCCAGATCACTTAACTGAAACCACTGAAGAGGCAAAAGGAGTAGCAGTATCAGGACTGATTGAAGCTGAGGTCATTGCTGGGAAGCCAGAAAACGAAGCACCTGATGTTGAGGAAGGAAAATCAGTTTCTGTAACTGATGTCCAAGAAGAATACAGCGAGAAAGGGGGTCAGGAGAAACAGGAAGAAGTAATTGTGAACATAGAGGAGAAGCCAAAAGAAGCTTCAGAAGAGCAGCCTACTGTGACTCTAGAAAAGCAGGCCACTGCAGTGGAGGTAGAAGCAGAGCCTATAGATTCAACAGTCAAGCCGGTGGATGTGGGTGGGGATGAGCCAAAGGAGCAGGTAGCTGCCTCTAAAAATGATCCAGGAAAAGCTGTTCCTGATTGGTAGGGC